CGGAAGAGCATGGGCAAGGCTCTGACCACAGACCTGACCTAAGGACACAGAGGGCCTTCAATCTGCAGTGTGGGCCAACCCAGGTGTGCTGGTCAGGGTGGCTGGACCCACATGGCTGGCAGGGCAGTCAAGTCCCGAGAAGAGGAATGCAGAAGAGACTGCAGCGTGCCAGCTCCCGGGGAGAGCGTTCTTTCTCACTCCCCTGACAAAAACAAAAACAAAACAAACTAAAACTAAAGAGAACTTGCAGCTTGAACCTTGCCAGGTCAATTTCCTGCTCTTACGAACGAAGACCAGAATTCCACAGCATAATACGCAAAGTATCCAGACTAGAATTCACGATCACTTGACAAGCAAAGAGCCGGGTACTCTGATTAACTCTCGAGGGAAAGCAGTTGAGAGCAGCCCTACACAGCGGTCCCCGAGATCACACTCCAGGGAACCGGGGCTAGCTCCAGGAGGGAAGGAGCTCAGACACCCATTCGGACAGTCGGACACAAAGCCAGATAGGGCCAGACCTCGCACACCGCAGGGTGGCTCAGGTGGCCAGGACTCTCCACAGAACCCCGAGGGCCAGAGGGCAAGCGACTGCATTTCTTAGCATTTTCTGCCTGGGGCCAGCAGGCAGCGTGGTGGACAGGCGCTGGACGCTGGCGTGGATGGCCGTGGCCTCGCACTCTCGCTTTCTCTCTAGTGAGCGCACATGTGCCATAGCGGACGTTAAAAGAATGAAGATAATAACAAATAAACTGAATGATACATAAACACACAGTGGAGTGATTAAAGAGTGCAATGGGGAATGAAAAGACAAGCTACAGTGGGGCGCAGTGCCACACGCCTACGGTCCCAGCTACATGGGAGGGAGGCAGGAGGCTCACGAGCTCACGACCAGTCTGGGCAACTGGGCAAGACCCCACGTCTCACTCTCTTCTTTTGGTACTGGGCATGCATGCTCACCAGAGAGAGGGGGAAGAGAGAGATCACCCACTGGGGGCAGCCATACCACAATCCCTTCTCCACCACTCTCCTCTCAGGGTTTTGGACACGGGCACACGCTTGATGCGTTTTCTAAGCCGTGAACTGTTCCGTTGGCCATGTGGGATCCAGCTGCTTTAACCACCGTACTGACTGGCCCGCAAGACCCCATCTCTTAAAAAAAGTGATAATTGGGACCAGAGTTAGCATAATGGCTATGTCATTGGACTCCCATGTAGTCGACCGCAGTTTGAGTCCCGGACCCAGTGGCTTAAACTCACGCTGGGCACATGTGTGTGCCCAAGATCCCGAGAGGAGAACGTTGGAGAAGGAGCTGCAGCATGGCTATCCCCCCAGGGGGTGATTTCTCTCTTTCTGTCTCTCTGTCTCTGTCTTTCTTTCTGGCGAGCGCACGCGCCCTATAGCAAAAAAATCTCTCCAAAAACAAGTGATAATTAAAAAGGTCAGCTCGGCGGTGCGACAGCCTGGGCCGCTCAGCCGGTCTCACATGCGGTGCAAGTCTCCACTCAGAGCGCTGAGCCGAGGCAGGCACGCCAGTGCCCAGGACCCTGGGCCAGGCTGCACTGGAGGAGGGGACTGTGGCATGACCAGATCACGGAGAATGCCCCCCAGCTCCCGCCCTCCGGTACGCATGCGTGCTCCAGCATGGGTGGTAATGATGCAAGCTGAGCGGCCACGAGAACGCAGCATTCGCAATCACACCACGAAAACCTACATCCAACCACATCAGGGGCTCGACTCCAGGAAGCAAACCTCCCAACCAAGACACGAGCGAGAGATCCAAGCAGACACATCACCACGGAGACACATCACCATGGAGACATGTCAAGCCCCCGGTGGTGCTGGACATCCGTCACCCCGGGGAACACCGGCGCAGGCCTTCATGACACGCAGTGGGCCGGCTGCACAGGGGGCCACGCGCTCGGTTCTGGGACCCACCTAGACCGGCAGGCGTGGGGACACATGCCAAGGCCGGGCAGGGACAGGAGCTGCCAGCACCACGTGCTGCAAGTTGTCGGGGCATGCAGGCACAGCAGGTGAGGCCACTGCAGTGGCTCCTTCCCAAGTGAGCACGCTTGCGGGGTGCCCAGCAGCCCTCTCCTCGCTGGGACCCCTGGCAGGTGCCAACATCTGCTGCCACCCACACCCTTCCTACACACGGCAGTGTGCCTGACACCTATGCCCGCTCTGTAGATGCACCCCAGTGTAACCACCACCCACACCCTTCCAACACACGGCAGTGTGTGCCTGACACCTACGCCCGCTCTGTAGACGCGCCGCAGTGTAACCGCCTACACCTTCCTCCCCTCTCGCTGAATCAGCAGACCCACGCTGTGCACACGTGTTTAGGGCAGCTCCCTACTGAAGGGATAAACCAGCATGTCCACAGAACAGAACCCCACCCATGACGAGGACCAGCAGGTGGCACGTCGCTGGACTCCCACATGGCTGGCAGTTCGAGGCCTTGACCCAGTGGCTTCAAAATCACACTGGGCACATGTGTGTACATGTCCAAGATCCTAGGAGCAGAATGGAGAAGGGATTATGATGTGGCCAGTCCCCGTGGGGGATAAGCTCTCACTTCCCCTCTCACTACCTCTGTCTCGCCCTCTCTCCCGCAAGCGCTCCCACACTAAGGCAAAAATCTCTTAAAAAATAAATGAGGGGCTGGCAGGTGGCATGATGGTTAAGGGCACTGGACTGCCACACGGCTGACCAGTTTGTGTCCTGGACCTGGCGGCTTGCTCTCTCACTTTCTCTCTCTGTCCCACCTGTGAACAAATGAAATAAATCAATAAAATTATTCTATGAACAAATAAATACAACTGGGACCGGCAGATGGTGTAACAACTATGTCATCGAACTCCCACGTAGTCGACCATGGTTGAAAACACACCAGGCGCACAGGGGCAGGGAGAGAGCACAGAGGAGGACAGCAAGAGGACGAAGAGACAGAGACGGCTCGGGGGCCAGAGACGGCCGACTGCCTGCTGATGGCGACACGCACAGGCTCTCCACTGGACTGGCCTGAGACGTGTCTCATGTCAGGTAAATTCTCCATCCAAGCCAAACGATCTACAGTGACTGCACGTTTAAAAAAATGAGAGTAAGTAATAATAATCTGAAGACAATGACAAAAAGCTATTTGATGATAATGACGTAGACAGTAACGTCTTTGTCTTGGCTGATATGCGTGGCAATCGTGCTGGAAAAAGAAATGTAATACACTGTAAAGATATATGTGATTCAATGTAATATAAAAAAGACTACATGGGAACCAGCAGTTAGCGTAATGGCTATGTCGCTGGACTCCCACGTAGTCGACTGCGGTTTGCATTCCGGACCCGGTGGCTTTAAATCTACGCCGGGCGTGTGTGCGTGCGTGCCCAAGATCCCGAGAGGAGAGTGGAGGAGAAGGGATTGCGGTGTGACCATCCCCCCGGGGGGTGATTTCTCGCTTTCTGTCTCTATGTCTCTCTCTCTCTGTCAAAGGGCAACGCGACCTAAAACAAAAAAACAAAAAAAAAAAAAAAAAAAAAAAAAGATTACAATAATAAAATTTTGAAAAACCCCAAAACAAAAAACTTCACACCAGGCACATGTACACGTGCCTGAAATCCCGAGAGGAAAACAGAGGAGAAGGGATGGCGCATGGCCATCCTCCCTGGGGGGTGATTTCTTGCTGTCTCTCTCTCAGACAAGCGCACATTCCCTATAGCAAACATTTTTCTAAACAAACACACACAACACCCACAGCAGCCTGGATGGACCTCCAGAGAGCCACACCCAGTGTCTCGAAGGTCAGCTGCTGCAGGGTCCGTGCGTACAACACTGTACAAGAACACGCCACTGTACAAGAACTCCCACTTTGAGGAGGGACACGGCAGTGGGTGCAGAGGAGACGTGGCCATGACAGGGACGGCCAAGGTAGCTGGGGTGACGGACTGCTGTGCTGAGTGTGGAAGGGGGGACACGGCTGGACGCACGCACTGGGACGCACAGACCTGCACATTCACCATCTGCCTCTTATTTTTCTTTGGAGAGGTTTTTGCTATAGGGCGCGTGCACTCGCCAGACAGACAGAGAGACAGAAAGCGAGAAATCGCCCCCCAGGGGGATGGCCGCGCTGCAATCCCTTCTCCTCCATTCTCCTCTCGGGATCTTGGGCACACACGCACACGCGCCCGGCGTGAGTCTAAGCCACCGGGTCCAGGGCTCAAACCGTGGTTGGCTACCTGGGAGTTCAGCGACATGGCCATTACGCCAGCTGCGGGCCCCTTCCGCCTACAGGTCTCTCAGGAGCTGAGCTGGTAGGAAGCGTACCGCACTGTCGCATACGCAGCCACCTGACCTTCTTTCTAAGTGCCAGAGGTCACGTATGCTCGCGAGGGAGAAAGCATACGTGGGGTGGCCGTGCTGCAATGCCTCTCCCCCACGTCCAATCCTGTCTAGGTTTTGGACACGCACATGCACCCAGTGTGTGTTTCCAGCTGCTGGGGCCAGGATTCAAACCATGGCCAACACACAAGACCGACCTGCCCTAACGAGTAGGCAGTGAGGATGGCCCTGGTCCACGGAGTCTCAGCAAGACGGCCAACCACTCAAGGCTGGGGCAGTCTTTCAACACATGGTGCTGGGTACCTGGGTGTCTGGGTGTCCACATTAAAAGAACAAGATTGGGGACCAGCAGTTAGCGTAATCCCTATGTCGCTGGACTCCCACGTAGTCAACCGCGGTTGGTGTCCCGGACCCGGTGACTTAAAACTCACGTCGGGCGCGTGTGCGTGCGTGCCCAAAATCCCAAGAGGCGAATGGAGGAGAGGGGTTTGCAGTGTGGCCTTCCTCCTGGGGGGTGATTTCTCGCTCTCTGTCTCTCTCTGTCTTTCTGGCTAGCGCACGTGCCCTATAGCAAAAACCTCTCCACAAAAGAACAAGGCTGGGCATTTATCTTACTCTGGCCACAGAAATGAACTCGAGGTGGCCCAGAAACCTGACCCAGGAGTAAAGCCATGCAACACTTAGAAAGACTTGGATTTGGCAATGAGTTCTTACATGCACCCAAGGGCACTACCCAGAGGGTGGGGGAGGAGGCCTGCTGCCGTTTCCCTGGTGAAGATATCCCGAGGACACGGACAAGCAGAGCCCAGCACAGAAAGAGAACAGGAGGGCGGCTCTATCCTTGGGGAAATGCAAATTAAAGCCACAATGCCCCCAGCCCTGGGCGCCAAGACAGCCGGGCTGCCAGGCTGTGGGAACAGGAGCCCTGGGCACTGCTGAAGGCAGGGTGAGGCCGCTGTGGACAGCTGCAACCCCAGTTAGTTACTGCAGGACCAGGAATTTCTTCTCTAGGTAGAGTCCCAGATAAATGGCTGAAGTCAGGGACCCCAACGTTGCTAACAGCACTGCTCACAGTGGCCAAAAGGGGGACAACCCACGGGCCCGTCCATACACGGACAGCTAAACCCGGTCGGGTACCTGTGCAATGGATTCTCGCCTGCCTTAAGGAGAGGCATGACGTGGATGGGCCTGGAGGACAGTGTCTCAGTGGAAGGGGTCACACGAGAGGACAGGCGTCGCGCAGCCCCACTTACGGGAAGCACCCAGAGCCCGACTCACAGGGGTGGGACGGCCAGGCCGATGTGGTGGGGAGTTACTAGTCAGGTCAGACGTCCAGTTTGGGGTGAAGAAAAGGTCTGGGAATGGACGTGGAGAAGGCTGCAACCACCATAAACACGCTCAGTACAGCTCAGCTACACACTTAGAAATGGCCGAGGGACCAGCAGTTAGTGTAATGGCTGTCGCTGGACTCCCATGTAGTCGACTGCAGTTTGAGTCCCGGACCCGGTGACTTAAACTCACACCGGGCACGTGTGCGTGCATGCCCAAGATCCCGAGAGGAGAGTGGAGAAGGGATTGCGGCGTGGTCATCCCCCTGGGGGGTGATTTCTCGCTTTCTGTCTCTCTGTCTGGCAAGCACAAGCACCCTATAGCAAAAACCTCTCAATAAATAAATAAAGTTAAATAATTCTAAAACAGAAAAATGTTTTTAAAAAAAGGCTAAAATGGGGATGGTGGTTAGGGTGGCTGGATGCCACACAGCCGACTACAGTTAAGAGTCCAGCTTGGTAAAAAACCACACAGGACACACATGCGTGTGCGCCCACATTCCCACAAGGAAGGAGGGGAGAGGGGACTGCAGTGTGACCATGTCTGTGGAGTGCGTCTGCTTTCCTCCTCTCTGTTTGTCTCTCTCTCCTCCCCCATCTCCGGCAACGGCACGTGCCTTCTTGCAAAAATTTAGAAAAAAGAAAAAGAGCTAAACTGGTAAAATGGGGGCCGGCCAGTCACACAGTGGCTAAGGCAGTTGAACCTCACAGCTAACTGCAGGGTTTGAATAATCCAGCAGCTTGAAAAGCACACTGGGGCGTGCGTGTGCCTGCCTGTGTGCCCAAAATCTTGAGAGGAGAATGAAGAGGGGACTGTGGTGTGGTCATACCATCCATCCCCCTGGGGTGATTTCTCACTTCCCCTCTCCGTCTTTTTGGCAAGCGCACATGCCTTATGGCAAAACCATAAACTTTTAAAGAGATAGAACATAAAAGCGTGCTAAAGATGTCTCTGTACTTGCTGCAGGAATGTGAACATGTTAAAGATCCCACCTGCCCAGATGGGGCAGGCCACACGCCAAGGCAGGCATGCAGGGCCGGGCTCGAGGCTTCACTCCAGCACAGCTGGCCTGGTCAGGGGCCACCAGGGCTGTGAGGGAAGAGGGCACTTCCTCCTCCATCAGCCCATCAGGACCTCGCTTACCTGTCCCCAGCTGAGAATGGGCTCCAGGTGATGCCAGAGAAGGCACAGGGCAAAGCCTGCCTTCCGGGGCCACCATCACAAATGCCAGCCAATCTATGAAGTGGCCCCCCCGGCCCAGAATCTCAGGAACCCAAAAGTGGGCAGGCTGAGGTGGAGGATTAAACACTGGTTGAGATTCGGGTCCTCATCCTCCTGGAACAAGGCGAGCGGGGGCGAGCTGAGAGCCACCTGCTAGTGAGCCAGCCTTGCTCTGCAAGGAAGGGAGTGCCCTGGGATGACATCCACGACTCTACCCTGGAGAGCTGGCTGAAAGGCCAAGCGGGACTGTGTCAACACGAGGACGAATGGCCAGATACCCGATGGCACAGAAAACGAGCGATGGAAAGTGAAACAAGTAAAACTCAGAACGCAGCATTTTAAAAATTCAGCAATCTGGGACCAGCAGTTGGCACAACGGCTATGTCGCTGGACTCCCATGTAGTCAATCACAGTTCGAGTCCTGCCCCTGGGGGCTTAAACTCACACCGGCATATGTGTGTGCTTGTCCAAAATCCCGAGAGGATAATGGAGAAGGGATTGCGGGTGGCCACCCTCCCCGGGGGTGATTTCTCGCTTTCTCTCTGTCTCTGTCTTTCTGGCGAGTGCATACACCCTATAGCAAAAACCTCTTTAAAAAAAATTCACAATCTGGGACTAGCAGATGGTGTAACGGTTACGTTGCTGGACTTTCATGTGGTCGACAGCGGGAGTCCCAGACATGGTGGCTTCAAACTCACACCAGGCACGTGTGTGCGTGCAGGCCCATGGTCCTGAGAGGAGAATGAAGGAGGACCTGCTGCACAGCATCCCCCCGGGGGGTGATTTCTCGTTTTCTATCTTTCTCTCTCCGTGCAGTGAGTGTGTGTCCTACAGCAAAACCTCTTAAAAACAATTAGCAATCCTCAATCAGCAGGCTGCTCACTACTGCCCCCCACCCCCACCCCTGCGCGGCCACCTAGGGTCAGCTCAGCTGGGAGGGCTGGCCTGCAGCCCCAGCTGCTGCGGGTGCGCCTTGCGGGGGCCAGGCCCGGGCTCCGGAAGACTGTCTTCAGAGGTTTCCAGTCAGAAAAGCTGCAGCAGCTACTCACACGCCGTCAGACTTCACATTCCTACATTGTTCTCACTTTCTTTTTTTAGGTTTTGCCATAAAACTTGTGCATTCTCCAGAGAAAGGCAGTGGAAGGAGAGGGGGAGTGAGATATCTCCCCGCTGCAATCTCTCCTCCATTCTCTTCTGGGGACTTTGGGCACGCAGGCACATGCCCCAGTGTGATTTTTCAAGCCACTGGGTCCAGGACTCAAACCATGGTCAGCCATGTGGAAGTCCAGCACATTAACCACCACAATAGGGCACATTTACTCACCAAAGGAAGATACAGAGAGGAAAAGTGAGAAATCACCTTGGGGAGGCAGGTGGTTATGGGCACTGGACTCCCACACAGTTGACTGCAGTTCAAGTCCCGGACCTGGTAGTTTGCTTTCTCAATTTCCTTCTCTCTCTCTCTGTCCCTCTCTGGTCAAATTTAAGTAAGTAAGTAAATAAATAAAATTCTAAAAAAAAAAAAAGATGTCACCTCCCAAGGCAACGGCTACACCACCCTCCCTCCTCCACCCTCCTCTTTGGGTTTTGGGCACTCACGCACAAGCACCTGCTGTGATTTTAAAGCCTCCGGGTCCAAGACTTGAACCACCAGTTGGCCATGTGGGGTCTAGCCACCTTAACCTCTGTGTCACCTACTGGCCCTTCACTAGCATCACTTTAGTGTTCTAGATTCAGGCTTCACAACAAAAACGCTTTATATGCATACATACTTAAATTGCCCTGGGGGTGGGGTGGGGCAGCAGGACGGTCGGCCTCCAGAGGCCTCCCCAGTACAGCCCACGTGGGCTGACCCAGGCCTGGCTACGTGATGGTGGTTGGCAGCGCCAGGCCTGCCCCCTTTCTCCCTCTCACTCACGGAATCGGGAATCGATAAGCTTCCTAGGAGTCTACCTAAAATACTGGGCCGCGGTGCTTCAGCTTGGGCTCCGGCTAGCCAGCCCAGGCAGAGCCCTGGCTCACGATGACTCATCAGGGAGGAGGGCCTACCATGGAAGCTGCCCACGCCCCACTGCGGGGAAGCACCGCTGGGTAGCTCCCCCAGCGGTACTGGAGCTCAAGTTCACAGCCATGCCTGTCACTGGCGGGTGGCCTCGGGCCGTGGGCGCCTGGG